GACGACCAGGAAAAGCCTCGAAGGCCTCACAAACGCAGAGAAAAGGCCGAAACACAAACGAGCAGCTGCACCGCCTCCGCCAAGCAGTGAAGTTAGTTCGCCTGAAATGTCCAGTCCCCTTTCGTTTGCAGCATAGTACACCAGGTGCGTGTACGGCACCATGTAGCCGATGCAATAGAGGAACAAGGAGGCGTTGAGCAGCAAGAACTGAAAGTCTCCGAAAGGCTGGAAGAAGTCTCGGACATGGCTGCCGCTCCGCAGCTCTTGATAGTCGGTGGTGGAATCTCCGGTCTTCTCGTGGCGACGAAGACCGCACCAGAGAGCGACCACGGATACCAACAGCAGTAGGCCAAAGGCTCCACAGCAAATCCGAAGCGCCCCCCTCCAGCTGAAGCTCTCCAGCAGTACGCCGAGTCCCAGGTTTACCACGACAGTTCCTAGGCCTCCGCCGGACGAAGCTAGACCCACAGCCACAGGCAGAAAGCTTCGAGTGATATGGCCCGGACCATAGAGGACCGTCACGGCTGGGGTGAAGATCATGGCCATGGCCACCCCACCGACAAAACTACAGGTTATGAAGAGGAAGTAGCTGGAGGGGGCGTAGCTGTCTGCTAGCATGCTGAGCACAAGCAAGGCTGACCCAATTGCAGGCATCCGCACAAAGCCGACACGCGGGACCAGGAATCCTGCTGGCGCAGCCCCTGCGCCGAAGACGAAATCCCGAATCGAACCCACAAGCGCCAGGGTGCTGGCTGCATCGCCTGTGTCTGCCTTCAGTGCAGCGAAAAGTGTGCCGTAGGAGTAGAAGAGCCCCACGACCACCACCTGCACGAGGAAGGAGGCCACGACCAAGCAGGCTTGCTGCAAGCCAGAAAGCACCGATCCTGCATTCTGAATTTCGGGCATGATGCCGGCAAAGGGCTTGCAACCTCCCGCTAACTAAAGTGCAAAGCTTGAGAAAACGAATGAAGGATCGCCGGTCAGGCATGTCATGTCAACACTCCGCTCTGAATGAAACACACATATTTCCAGGTGCCCCGGCCAAACAAGAACACAACATGACACCTTTTTATCAACCTCTTATTTCTGCAGTAGGAAGAGACACAGCACAACACGCTACCGTAATTGAACCCTGAACCCTTTTTGAAACCAGACTCTGCCGATCAGCTGAGAAGCAGCAAAACCCTGAAACATAAACCCCGCCGCAACCCCGAGGCCTGAAAACGTCCAGGCGCTTCTCGCACACCTCGCGAGGAGCTTCCGAGTCAGAGGCGGGAGCTTTGAAATCTGGGAGGCTACGGGTGCAGTGCTTGGAGTTTAGTTCCGGCGGGCCTTCTTCTGTTCCAGCTAGCGTTTCATGGAAAGCACTGAACTCAGACTCAGAATGCAGATCTTTTGTGAAGCTTGGTCGAAGTTGGTTTCAGTACCCTTTTGTGACAGGTGTCTTGGCTTCACGCCTGCATGTGCGCATGGAAATCCTAGTAGGACTTCGGGCCAGCAACGCGGGCTTTTGTTACGAACATTTTCCGTCTCGCAAGGACTGGGGGCGGTTTAGGATTCAGGGCTTGTTACTACGACTACCAGCTCTGCCGCTTCGCTTCTGTGGTCTTGATTCTCAAGATAAGAGCCAATCCCTTTTATAGATCCTGATTACTAGGATCCTGCCTCAAAGAAACCCTCTTGTATCAAGGTACTTCGGTGACCTTTTCAACCCTAAGGAAACTCCGAATTCAGGTACCCCTAAGCCCTCAACCCTACATACTATATAATTCAGGTACTCCCTAAAACCCCATAACTCAGCAAGGCTCTAGACCACGGTTCCACGATTCATAAACCCCTGTTCAAAGTCCGAAACAACAGAATCATACTTCTCGTATCTTATAGTCCGTGTGCCGATAGAGGGCGGGTTGACGGTTGACGACGTCGGGCTCTACATAGGAGCAGCCCCTGCTTTTAAAGGGCCAAAGCCTCAGATCTAGGAAGCTTGAGATACGAGTCCGTCATGCTCCAGAATTCACCTAAAAAGAGGGATCCTTCTATTCCGGGTAGGTATCAGGGTTCCTTAACTCATCCTTCCTTTTGCCCGGCGGGTCCCTTAACTCAGGCTATGAAAGAATGGAAGACCCAGTAACTCAATTTAATGCATGGGGCTTAGGAAGTACAGTGAGACGTGAGACTCATACCGAATCAATTTTCTATAGCCTTGCTTATAACTACCCATGAACACACAGCTTCAAGTAGACGACGGCAAAAAGAGCCTGGGCGAACTCTTGCACTGGAAAGCGCATGCGGTCTGCCTCAGATCCGAGCTGTCCTATCCATCGAACTGACCATCATAACAAATGATAGTGATATAAGGTGATATAAGTAACGGTAGTTACTAGCAATGCACCTTCTAGAATTCTATGGGCTGTTTAGGCACCTTCTGTAATTCTATGGGCTGTTTATGCACCTTCTATATTGGGCTGTTTGTGCAGATTTACACGGATATAGAAGGGGCTTGTGGGACTTGCTGGTCCACGCGGGAAAAGATTCTTGTCGGAATCTTCCAGAGGAAGGTGTCCGGTGAATGATGCAAGCTATGCAACCTCGGAGCTCGTTTATTAAATTCAAAAGGTTCTGGAGCCTAAACAGGTTTGGAGTCGGTTGTGGCGCCAGTGGATATGGATGGCCAGGGCCTCCATGGCACTCGCAGCTATAAAAGTTACTGCTGAAGTTTTTGCTATTATAACTCCAGGGTTAGGGTTTAGCGTTTGGGGTTTAGGTTTATAACCAAAACCATCTTCCAAGCAAATCCCTGGAACTCGTGGCCACACCTGGCGTCAAAGTTCCTTTATTATGCGGAGGCTTCCGATCCCTGTCTTGCAACAGCCCCAAGATGCCAAATCGGCACACAAACGAAACTCCCAAGCAAGATCCCACTCGCACAGCAGAATCTGCCTTCACTTCCTCAGGGTGAGGGCCATGTTCGCCCAGCGGATCTTCTAAAACCTCAGATGCAGAATCCATGCAGAGCAACCTTGTTGGGTGATTTTGGATGCGTCCTATTATGGAGGATACACGGCCCATCGGAAAAGCGTTTCGCACTTATAAGTCCGGCCGCGGCCGAACATGTACGTTCGCGGCTGTGGATTTCAGCACCGGAACGATGAGCGCTTGTCGATACTGCTAACTACACAAAGAACCCTATACCGAAATAAACCCGCATCAGTAACCCTTTTTGCGTTAACCCTGAAACCCAAACCGGTCGAAGCGGCGAAAACTTTGATCGAGCCATCAAGCAGTGGTGGCAGTGGCTCGCGAGGCAGAGGCAGCCAATGGTCCTCTTTCGGTTTAGAGTTTAGGGATGTTTAGGGCTTCACGCAGAAGAAAACCTGGGTTAGTGCTCCCTTTTGCAACGGGCTCCCTAAACCTTGAACCCTGGGTGAGCCTGGGTTTCAGGTTTCAGGATTTCGGAGCAGGACGGAAAGTAATGTGCAGAGAAGGTTTGGCATCTCTCCAAGCGCACTGAGGCCCACTGAAGCCCGATTTGAAGCACCTCACACCTGGCCGTTGAATTTCAACCTGTGGGTTTAGATTCCAGGATGTTGGGTGAAGTTGAGTGCACATATGCCGGGCTGGGGGAAAGTGCTGAAATACCTTCCAAACAAAATCTAGCAAGTCATCCAGAGGCCAACTGTTCCAGGTCAAGTGATGCTTGCGAAAGTTGCAGCTTACAGACCTGCCTTTGGATGTGCGAACTGATATTCCAGTCCAGCCGAGATGTAAATGCATCCACAGAAGAGTCTCGACAAGCGAGCTGTGTCCAGCAAAATATCGGTTTTTGTTCAAAAAAACGTCGGTGGATTGACGGTTGCTCCTGGTAGATCTGCGCAGCTTCCGAAAGCTCGATCGTCCGCTGCCCCGAGATGGTGTCCTTGACAACGAAGTATCTTGGTTGGATCTGAAGCCGGCTTGTATACCCTACAAAGAGTGTCACTGTGAATCCATCCACGGCCGCTATAGCATCTGCTGCAGGGCTGTACTCCCCCCCCGCCCCCACCCAAGCGTTGAAACGACCTTTGATCGAACCAGGAGCTCGAGCACATCTAGAATGTCCATTCGTCCAGCCGCTCTCCGAGCAATTGGCACATGGTATAACTAACCTCGTTATTGCCAAGATGTTCATGGCAAATCGGACTCACGAAGCTTACGCAAGCAGGCTTTGTGAGTAAAGTTTGAAGCAGGAGGATCACAACGTAATCTCGTTACACCAGCGCTTCATAAGGCGGCCAAATGTATCATCGACGAGGCCACTTACTGTATATGGTATTGGTTGCAGTTTGGCATGGTGCGAATCCTAAACCTGCATTTCCGGACACGATTCTTGTGCAGACCAACAGAAGTATTCAAATTCAGAGGCCCTTGATGGATTGATTCACCAGGAACCCCTATGCAGGAAGAGGGAGTCCTGATTTGCGGCATCCCAAAGTGTCAAGTAGCGTGCAGCAATGTGCACGTTAAGGCGGCTCCTCAACCCCTGACTGTTGCAGGGAGAAAGTCTTTCTCGCCCAGGACACGAATTAAAGGTGGGACTTTACATCCGAAATTTCATCCGATGTATCGCACGATGGGACGACCTGGTCCAGATGATCCGCCTTCGCCGGATCCTCCGTAACCGACGAAGGCTTTTCGATGGATCGCCGACAGAAAACTGCAAGGCAAAACACAGGGACTGCCACGAGCACGATCCCACCTGCCGCGAAGAAGGCGCCGTCATAGTGGCCACTGAGGTCATACACCTTGCCAACGAAGGTGGGCCCAAGAAGCGTGCCGACTGCAATCCTCCGTATCGCCACGGGCCAAATATTACTGTGGCACGGTATTCAATTAGGTCACCCTCTTTCGCCGGCCGGGGTAATTTTGGGATGAGCCTCTATAACGTGCTCCGGATTCGGCCGGTCTGCTACTTGAACAGAGGACAACAAACAAACGCCTGTGTTTGAAGGCCTCAGGCTTGGTTGGGGTGGGGGGAGTGTGGGATGAAGGAACAAGTCTTCCCACTCCCGCTTCCTCTCCCTCTCGCGCTCCCACTCCCACTCTCACCACCAGAACCACCACCACGACAACCACTGCAACCACGACCACGACTACGACAACGACGACGACGACTGCTGCTACTACTACTACTACTACTACTACTACTACTACTACTACTACTACTACTACTACTACTACTACTACTACTACTACTAAGCACCAGCACCAGCACCAGCACCAGCACCAGCACCAGCACCA